GGAACATATGGAGCAAAAATGGTGGGCCATTGATCCATCTATATGCATCAGGAGTCTTAAAGAACTTCGTAGCTAAGTCAGCAACGTTCTCCTTTGTCGGAACCCAGCGCCACTGGTTGCGGTTGGTGCTGTCTACGATCTCGCCAACTCGATGCCTTACGAATGACTGAAACTTCCGGGGTCCATAGTTAGCCATTGAAGAACGGTTTTAGAATCGGACCAGTATGTTGTTGTATCAATCTTTAGTTCTCGGGTGTTCATTATCCTTTTTGCTAATCCTACTCCCATTACCGCTGCCAAGAGTTCCATGCGTGGAATGGAGAGGGGTTTTAAAGGCGCAACTTTACATTTGGCGGCTACCAATAGAGTTTTGATGTCGTCTCCTTGCTTTATACGGAGGTAAGAAACTGCCGCGTAGGCGTCTTCACTTGCATCTACGAATGTATGCAAGTCAGTCCGATCTGCATTCGGCAACAGTGTAGAATAGTATCGAGGAAACTCCAGTTCTCCTGCGTGCAGTAGTACTGTCTTCCATTGGCTCCAAAGGGCGAGTAGTGAATTCGGAAGTTCTTCGTCCCAAGTTATTCCAGTACGCCACGCCTTTTGGAGTAGCATTTTCAGACCGATGGTGTAGCAAGATAAAAGGCCAAGGGGATCGAACGGACATCAGTACTTGAAGAGCCTCGCGTTTGGTTGGCGGTGTATCACCATTTAAGACGTCTCGTTTCAATCTCGCAAATCTTAAAATGTACCTAAAGACGTCACTGGTGGGATCCCAATACATACCAAGCACCTTCTCAGGACCCAGGTCTTTGGAATTTTGGCTGTCGATTTGACGCTCTCCGAAATGCTGAAGAACTGCGGTAGAGTTGGAAATCCAATTTCTAATAATGAATCCGCCTTTGGAGTGAATATCTTTGACTTCAGACGCAACTTTAATGGCTTTATCATCGTCATTAATGAGATCCTCCACGTATTGAGCCTGTGTTATGGATTCATAAGCGCGCGGATTTGAGCTCTTGTATGCATATGCATTTTTGTCTCGTACATGGTGAGCAGAATTTTTGGTGAGCCATAGAAATCGTTGTACATGTTTGTCGCTTTCTTGAATGGTTATCTGATGAAACATTTCGGCGATGTGTGCACATGCGGCGATACGACCGACTCTAAATGACATTAGAATATCAGTCAATTGGTGCAGATAATCGGGTCCATTCAGCATAAAATAATTAAGCGATTTTCCGTGGCTTTTTGAAGCGGCATCCCATACTAGTCTTATTTTATTTGGCTTGTTAGGATTAAGGGCAATGCAGCTACATCTTCGGTTGGAGCTCGACTGCGTAGCCTTTTGCTATGAGATTGTCGATTTGTCCTTGTATTTGATCGAAGAGGTCTGGGTCCTTATTGGTTTTGGCTCGTAGGCAATTGAGGCGCTTTAAAGCCGTAGAATAGCTTTCTGGCAAAGTTACTTCCTTATCGCCCCAAAGCAAGCCAACTTCATAATGGCCGTTGATTTTTTTACAAGTATCTTCAAGAAGATACACAGATAACAGTTCTGTCGATTTCTGCCCAGTTACAATCAGAGTGATGCAAGGAGATGTGACGGTTTGAATTACTTGATCCTTGAATGCTCCATCCCAGTGAACACTTTGAGGCGATAGGGGCGTTGTGTCTTCCTTCACGAATCTTCCGAGGTACTGCCAAGGTCCAGTTGTTGGCGCCAATTAACAGCATCGGTTGTGCGTTGAAGTATGACTGCACTGCACCCAGAAAAAAAAATGACCTAAAATGTCAAAAAATGGCCTAGAATTTAGGTTAAAGTGGCCTAAAACTGGAGCTAAGTCCTTGAATGGCATAAAATTTAGGATTGTATGACCTAAAATTTTAGGCCATTAATGGCCTAAAATGGGGTAATTTTTGGTCTAGATATTAGGTAATTGGCTGCCTTAAAATATGAGAAAACCCCTATCCAAAATTTTAGGCTTTCTTTGGCCTAAAAATTTGTACTGAAAAATGTTTCATATTATAAAGTAAATACAGAGAAATTTATAGCTAACTCGAGGTCAATGTCGGCTTAGTCTTCAAGAAGTCGTCATTATGCCAACACACAAAAACGAGCGAAGAGGCTTCACTGTTCAGCAGTGAAATCGCTGTTTTATTCAACGATCGAAGTGGGTTACTATGCAAGCCGCGCTATAACTGGTTGGGAATTATAGCGTCGCTAGAACGGTATCAGAGTTCCGTGCAAATTTATTTAGGTAAAATGCATTAATTTTAAGGCCCACGATGACCTAAAATATTAGGCCATACGGGACCTAAATAGTAGGGCAAATATACCAAAAATTTAAATTTTTAGGCAGTACATGACCTAAAAAGGAACTTTTAGTCCATTTAAAATGTTTTAGGCTATGCATGACCTAAAATGTTGTCCATCATTTTTCTGGGTGTGGCAGTCCTTGCAAGTGTGAGTATTGGTTGCAAAGTTTGTTGACATCAGGGACCGTAAAGATTATAAGTTTTATCCAAAAACTCAATCTTTAATGATTATTTTTTGAGTTTATTTATTAATCCAAAAATAATCGTTATTTTTTGAGTTTTTTGTAAAACTCTAAAAGTAATGATTATTTTTTGAGTTTTATTTCAACTCTAGAAATAATGATTATTTTTTGAGTATTATTTTCCGCTTGACAAATAACGCTTACTTTTTGATTTTTATTTTCTGATTGAAAAATAAAACTTATTCCTTGAGTTTTATTTTTTGATTGAGTTTTATTTTTTGATCAGAAAATAAAACTCGAAGTCCAATTTCTTTGAATTTAAGAGGTTTGGCTTTAAAAGCGGTTAGCAAATGTACTAAGTAGAGATTTAGTTTATGTAACACACACAAAAATGACTAAGTAAGAGTAAAAACCCACGAGCGACCAAGATGTTTTTCTCAAGTTAGTAAGTTATTTGATTTTTATATTCATAATTTGTTAATTATACAATAAATTTAGTTATTATTTCAGATAAAATCTGTAACTAAAAGTAGTTTGAAAAACAGGAACTTATGCAACAGGGATAATTCCCGATTCCCCAATTTTTATTTTCTTTTTCTTAATAAATTTTTATCTGATATCGAGAGCGCAAAATTCAAATGTTATTTTAAAAATTAATCTTTCTTAAGATTGAATTGGTATTTAAAAATATCAACTTGATATTCTAGAAAATATGTTCGAAATATCAATGTTGCATTAATTAATATCGGCCCCAATTTGATATGAAATAATGTTAACTTGAGTGCAATTTCATATCAATTTTTTTTCTGTGCAGGTTGCAGGCCTCCATAGTTGCGCATGCATTGCGTACTGCCATGGCGAAATCAATGAGAGATTCCAATCTGTCCTTGTGTACGTTGATCTTCCTGATTTTGTCGATCAAACGGTCAAGGATATGTTCTGGGCGTCCAAAAAAGGTTTTCAGGGTGTTGATAACTTCTGGAACCAGTGCAGGAAGTAGCAGTTTATCCCGCACCAATTCATAGGCTTTACCTTTTGAGGCACTTCTGTAGTCGAAGCATGTTCTCAGCGTTTGAGAAGCCGGCTATTGCACAGCTATTTTACATGCTGATGAAGATTGGCCAGTCCTCTGGGTTGCCATTGAAGGTAGGCAGATTTAGATCTTTTTGAAAATACCACAAACTTTAGCAGGGGCACGTACACTCATAGAAATTTTCCGGTAAAATCGCCCTAAAAACAGGGAAAATCGCCCTAAAACGGGGGTCAATGGCGACTAGGCAACAAAATTAGGGCAAATTGCCCTAAAAATACGGGTGATTTTGTCATACATTTAGGGCGATTTTTCGTAGATCTAGGGCGATTTTTCTATTTTCAAAGGTAATTGCCCTAAAAATAAGAAATGAGACCCTTAAACTAAAGGCAGTTTCCTTTAAATCCAGGGCGATTTTTCTGGACTTATAGGCGAATTGCCCTGGAAATCGGAAAAAATACCTTTAAACTAAAGGCAGTTTTTTATAAATCTAGGGTGATTTTCTGGATTTTAGGGCGAATTGCCCTAGAAATAAGGAAAAATATCCTAAAACTAAAGGCAGATTTTCATAAATCTAGGGCGTTTTCTCTGGATTTATAGGCGAATTGCCCTAAAACATGCAAAATGCTCCCCAAAATTTTACGGCCATTTTTCATAAATAAAAATACGATTTCATTATATTTTTTTTGTTTGTTTTTTATATTTTTGTTTGTCGTTATTTACACAATTTCTAATTATATACATTTACATACTTTTCTACTTATTCTTATTGCTAAAAGAATTACATCGATCTTAATTTTTTGGCTTAATGTATTTTTTGGTCTTTATGTTGTGTGCTTCCGCCGGAGGGAATTTTAGGTCTTACTGATTATCAAATTTTACTTCTAATTGAATGCATAGAAATAATAGTTTTTATTGGAATGAACAGATTGTTTCTTTAAAATAGTTACAGTTTTAAGGTTTTATAATCCTTCAAGAGTTCGGATAAAGCTTTACCTTTCTTATCAGACTCTAAATGAATTTCATAAAACATTTTTTGGATAAATGTCGTGGTTTAAAACAAAAAATATTTTGAAGCACACATCAATACTTTTCAATAAGGTTGGCATTCTATAAATAAACCTCTGATAGGTAAACTGGAAATTCACCAAGGTCAAAAAGGGCTTGTTCCCACGTTGCAGCTGAATGGTTGCAGTTTCGGCTTTCCGGATTAGCAATTTTCCGTCAATGCCCTTAGATGTGTTTGCAGTTCCCCAACAGTAGCCTTCCAAACCAAGAAACGGCTTCGCGGGTCCGCAATGGTGTGCTTCGCGTTCTTGCTCCCGCCGTCCTTTTTTGTCATTGCTGTCGCACCAACACTGAATGGATCGCAAGCCAAATTAAAGTTGATTGTATCTCTATTAAATAAAAACAGTCTATTTATTGAATGAGAAAAGAAAAAGAGAAAAAGCACATACCTTCAGCGTGGCTTTCCAAAGTGGTTTGCGGAAGCTGGATCTCAAAGACGTTCTCAATCTAAAACAAGAAATAAAATTGTTAGAAATTAAAATAAAAATGCACTACTAACAGTCAGAATTTGCGTTTGCTGCTACTTCTGGAAAAAAAGAAGCAACAAAAGCAAATTTCGGTTACTGACGAAATGACGCAATAGAAATTTGGGGGTTATTTTGGCATATGCACTTGTGAATGCGGTTTGTCCGGTGCATAAATACAGATTTCTGGTAAATATATACATCTGTATACATGTGTATATTCTGTTGCATCATTTTTTTACCTCAAGCATTATTTACATATACACATACATATATGTATACTCTTATTAATGTTCTTACTTTGTTCTGCCACACTTCCAAAACTCTACATCTGGACCGCTGCTTCCAGTCAAATCTTTTTAAGTTTCAGCTGCATTTTCCTCTGTTACAGATACATATGTAAGTTCAATTAGTTATTAATATCCAAATTGCACAATTATATATGTATGTACTCACCAGAAAACAGAGAAAGAATCGCCTCCCAAGTCCTTTAATAGCGTTTACATTTTTCACTTTTTCACAAACAAAAGGTTTCACAAACACGTCTTTCGCTGCCAAGCGCCGAAAAATTATGACAAAGTCTAGACAATGCAACTCTTTCTACCCCCACCCTTGCCACTGCAACGGACGAAAAGTAGCGAAGAAGAAGAAAAAGGGTGGACTTCTCTAAAGTCAAATGCGCTCAGCATCAAAATTCATAGAAAAAGGTCCGCCCTAATATACACACACATTCACTTGTTTTGACCTCCCAGCGGGAATGTGAGAAGTTGGTTTTTGTGTTCTTGAAATCCTGTTCCTTTTTGCAGGCGGCGGTGTAGGGATAGATAATTTCTGAGCGCTAAATGAGGGTGGGTTTCTGAGAAGCATCAATATCAGGCCACTTATGCGCTGTGTGATTTCTGTGGCACCACGATTATAATATTTTTTAACAAAAAAAAGACCAACTTATAATATTCAAAAATCCTATGACTTACACCAAAACCAAAAGACTTGTTCTCACATTTAGTTTTAATTTTTAGTAATTTTAAAAGTCGTAGAAAAAATATTAATAATTGTTAATCAAAAAAATTAAACTATATAACATTATTATCATAATGTCTATAATGATAATATTAATTTATTTTACTCAACATTTTTCAAATAATAATAAGGATGAATGTGGGATTCAACCAAATTATAGAGAAAAGCCACGGTAAGACGATTAAAATATTTGATCACATTTATCAAGGAATTACATTAAATTACAAAGAAAACTATTGTTGTTTTTTACATTTTTAAACATTTTCTGTGAAATAAAATAATTTGATCGTCAGATCGTGGCCTAAGCCATTTTTAAGTGTTGTTAAAATATAAAAATTCGTGTTGGTGGTATTGATAACACGAAAAATGCCTAATACACCTATAATATACGTAACCTTAAATGATTACGGTCCCTGAAAAGTATTTTTTAAACGAAATACTTATTCGGCGCCAAAGTGTGACCGGACTTTACAACGAAATTTATATCAAATCTGCATTTTAGTATTATCAAGTATATGATGCAGGGTCACATCATTTTTAAATTTGTTGGAAAAAGTGAAAAAAAAGTGAAAATAGTTAATTTTAATCTAAAAAACAATAAAAAGGTGAGTGATAAAATGAATTTTGTTTTTTTATAACCTTTATTTCAGCGTTACAAAGGTTAGTATCACAGATATTTTCGCCATTAATAAATATACGCCTCCGGATGCTATCTTCAACACAAATTCTGTGACACTTGAAATGTTTTTAATCTTTACCAGTGGTAAATGGTGTGAGGTGTTCATTAAATGTTCATTAAAATGGTGACACTTGAAATGTTTTTAATCTTTACCAGTGGTAAATGGTGTGAGGTGTTCATTAAATGGTTGTATAAATAGTACTTCAGTACTAACTTAGTTGTTTAACTTAATCAAAATATTACATTTATTTCAGCCAGGCCGACTGAGACTTCTTGGGACCAGAAGTGTTGCGCCTGCGCTTGTCATATTTTACTTTTTCTTCTCATTTCAGTGACACTTGAAATGTTTTTAATCTTTACCAGTGGTAAATGGTGTGAGGTGTTCATTAAATGGTTGTATAAATAGTACTTCAGTACTAACTTAGTTGTTTAACTTAATCAAAATATTACATTTATTTCAGCCAGGCCGACTGAGACTTCTTGGGACCAGAAGTGTTGCGCCTGCGCTTGTCATATTTTATTTTTTCTTCTCATAGTTTTTGATATAGATACCCGACATAAAACAACTGAACAGAGGGTAAATGATCGGCCATGGCAAACCAGGCATAATTTCTGGAGAGATCCTTTAATTTTGTGCGGAGACCTAATAATGGTAATTACTCTTATTATTATTCCTGGTCTTACATTCATATCTAAATTATGTTTGATATTTTCAGAAGACAGACAAGAAATGGATATCTAAGTACTGCATTCGGCCAAGCAAAACACGGGAATGCTTCAGGCATTAAAAATTTGTAGTTCCAATGCTTCGATTGTAAATATTATTAATAAATACACAAACAAATATTACAAAAAACATGATTTTTATTGTGGAAAATCAGATACTGCAAAGCAGTGCAAAACCAAAACTGCGAGGGTCTGGAAAAACCAAAACTGGGAGGGTGTAGAAAAGCAGATATTGCAAGTGGAGGAAAACCATAACTGGGTACGTGTGGAAAATCTATAATGCGGGAAGTCGAAAAACCAGTGGATTTTGTCCTGCATTCTTCTGCCAGAGATCCAGATAGAAACCTCATTTCCCCCTTACTTTTTGTGTCACCCCCGTGTATTTTGAAACCAGAGATGGAAGAAATGTAAGGGGTGAATGAGGTTTAGTCCCTTCCGCTTCTATGGAGAAACCTCTTGAAAATATGTTATTTTCCATAGGAATTTTCCCGGTGGGTATGTATCCATTAATTGCGTCTTAGAATTTCGTTTGACTCTTCCTTGTTTTTAGGGCAATTTCAGAACATATTTTTGGCTATTTTGTTCTGCGTTTTAGGGCGATTTCGCCCTAAAAAGAAGGAATTACTTTTGGAGTCGACTCATAAAAATTCGCTCTAAAAAACAGGGCAAATTTGGCGTTTTGGAAAAACTAACCCTAAAAAAAATTTTCCATGGCGATTTTTCGTATATTTAGGGCTAGCCACCCGTATAATAAGAAAATTTTTCGTAGTTTTAGGGCGACTTTTCTAGTATTTAGGTAAAAATTTCTATGAGTGTAAGGGCAGCTGATCTTAAATAATTTACTCACTGGACGAACCATACTTTACCACAGATATTGACTTTTTGCGGGCCGGAACGGGCTTCACAAAGTTTTAGTCTACAGAAGCTGAAGTTTTCTTTTTTTTAAAAAAGAGGGCTACAAGCATTAATGGATTTAAACTAAAACTACGAATACAACAACGAATATACAGGGCACAAAACATTCATTTTATTTTACTACATACCTTAAACTTTAGAAAAATGGGGAACTTGTTTCAAAAATAGGTGCATGAATCAAGCTATACGCTTTGAGAAGTATAGTGCTAGCATATGTTACCTTTGAGGGTTAACAGCTCATCTAGTTTAACGAATTTTTCATTGTTAATATGTTTTTTTTTCGATAAATGACTATTTTACTATCGGTAAAAAACAAAACTTTTATTATATTTAAGAGTCCAAAATTTGCTTAATCTTAAACTAAAACAGCCAAATCGGCCACTGTGGGGCGGGCCGAATCAAAAAGTCCTAGAAAGTGTATTTAATGACGAGTATAATAAATTTTCGTCACAAATGTTGATATCAGAACTTTTGTATGTTGAAGGTACGATCGTCACTAGTTTTTTAAGAGGTTAAGAGGTGTTTTTATTTGATTTAGATTTACATGCGTATATATCACAACAATCGAAATTTTAGCTGCTCTCGTATTATTTTGGCAATTATTTTTTGACCCTTCCTATGCTAGCTATTTATACACTCAAAAAAAAACGGCGTGCTAAATTCAAATTTTTTATTCTTGATTTTAATTTATTCCGAGATCAAAAATTTCAATCCCGTTTCGGATAAAAAAAGGCTTAATTTAATATTTTTGGGATGACACTAAGCCCGAGAAATTTATGTTATCCTAAGAAGATTGTATTAAAACTTTTTTATCCGAATCAGGATTGAAATTTTTACTTTAAGTCTGAAAAGGTAAATGTCATCCTGAAAAGATTAAATTATGGCTTCTTTATCCGAAACGGGATTAAGTTCCGGGCTGTTCGATCGGACTAGTTGTTTGAAAAAGATTTTTTTAAGACCCCAGCAGGATTTCAATCCTGTTTATTTTTATAAACAATTTTTTTATAATAAAGGAAATGCTCTGAAAATTTTTTTAGTCTAAAGGAGTAACGTTGTTTTTTTTCCAACAGATGGCACTGCACTCATAAAAATTAATTTCTAAATTTTGGAAATCTCGCCATTGAATCGGCCTACCTTTGAAAATAGAAAAAAAATTTCTTGTTATTAGAAAATTGTCCTTTGAATACAGAAAACCTTTCTTGATGGAAAAAATTCAAGAAAGAATTTTTCTTAAAAATAGAAAAATGAAAATCTCATATGTTTGTTTTGCCGTCGCAGCCAAAACATTTTTGTACGTATTTAAGGACAAAATCACCTTTGAATATATGAATGAAATGACCCTAGAATATAGGAAAGTAGCCATTGACTTCCTTCGGCTGCCGAATGTTAACGACAAGAAAAACGAAGTGGGACGAAGGGCCTACTCGGCCCGACTACTACCCGGCTACCGACTTCTCTGATCCCCCGAGCGTCAGTTGTGAAAAAAATTCGTGAGTGATGGACGTGATTTTCAAGCGGATAAGAGGTGAAGCCTTTTTCCGAATATTCAAAGGTATGTAAATATGTATATAATTTTTTGTATAGCGGGCGTACAATTGTATGTATGTAATTAGAGGATACATTTCAAATCTCTTTACCAAGCGTATACCAATTTAGGTGAATTGTTTTTTAGCTAAGAGCTACCTACATACATACATTTGTACATAAATTTGTGGGTGTACAGTTCTATAATAACTTTATCTTATTACTCGCATTTTATTTATTTTTCAGAGTGAAAATACCTGCAGTTGCATCAGCCAAATAATTTGTTTGTCGAAGCTGTAATTTTGTTTTAAAACCTTCTAAGGTAAGAAAAATATGTTGTATTTGTTTGACATACTTATGTATGTATGTAAATATCTATGCATGTACGCGGTTCACCCGATCTGAAACCCGATTTTCAACCCTTTCATATTCTGCTTCTCTCTCTCGCTCGCTTGACCTACGCGTCGCGACGTTTCTCTCTTCACCTTCTTAAAACTGACACGATCTGCCCTGCTTACATTCGGTCTCCCTTCGCGCAAAGGACTGTATGTAAATATATGTATGTATGTACGTGTCTCTCCCGTGTCTCTGTCTCTATGAAATTCGATTTTCAACCCTTCATTTTCTACCTGTCTTGCTCCTCTCTCTCGGTCGTCTGTCCAACGTGTTTGTATTTTGGCTATTATTAACATTATATTATTTCAAAAAAGTTGTTTA